GACCTATATGCACTGAAGGGGCAAAGAATAGAGGGGAAAAAATAAATATATATTTAAAAAAAAGCACAAATTTGGAAATTAAAAAAATAATGTGTCAAAGGAAAATAATAATGGAAATCAGAAAATACTTATGTGGGAAGCATCTCACAGGGGAATTATAATTTCAATGCTCCATTAGAAAATAAGAAGGTCTTCAAATTAATGAACTAAGCATTCAGCAGACAGATTTAGGGAGGAAAGTATCAGGATAAAAACAAAGAAAATAGAAGGAAAGCAATAATAAAGATAAAAGCAAAAATTAATAAAATAGAAAACAAATACAGAAGAGTGAAGATCAACAAATCCAGATGTTGATTCTTTAAAAAGACTAATAAATAGAAAATTATCACCAATATTAATCAATAAAAGCACATTGTAAAATGACTATAACTCAATAAAAATGTTTTAAAAAAAGCAAAAAAATAAAATAAAAACATAATATGCAAATAAGCAATATTTAGAGTGAAAGAAAAGACACGTGCAGGTGCTGCAGAGATTAGTAGTTAATAACAGGTTATTATGGATAACTTTATGCTAATAAAATTAAAAATTTTGATAGAATGGATAGAATAGGTTTCCCCTACTTTACCACTTACAAGGGCAGCGGCCTGTCAGAGTACAACGCCGTCCGGAAGTACATTCAGGCTGGGGTCACCTACCTCTTTGTGCAGCTGTGCAAGATGCTGGCCCTGGCCACTTTCTTTCCCACCTGGGAAGGCGACATCTGTGATTTCACTGGGGAGTTCATGAAGGCCAGCGTGGTTGTGGCAGACCTGATAGGCCTAAACCTTGTCATCCCGGCATGCCGGCAAGGCGGAATACAAGATCATGGTTGCTGCCCTGGGCTGGGCCACCGCCAAGCTGATTATGTCCCGCTGCATCCCCCTCTGGGTTGGAGCTTGGAGCATTGAGTTTGACTGGAAATACATCTAGATGAGTTTTGACCCCAACACCAGTCTGGTGCATTACATTTTCACACCTGCCCAGCTGTGGAAGATAACATGCTATGACCCGTACGACACTTTCCAGCCAGCAGTCCTCCTACTGATGTTCCTTAGCATCTACAAGGCCTTTGTCATGGAGACCTTCATCCACCTCTGTCCCCTGAGCAGCTGGATGGCACTGCTGGCCTAAGTGGTAGTGACAGGGCTGCACGTCCTCAGCACCCTGGTCCTGTGTGTCTCTGTTGTCAACATGCCCTCCTAGGCTTGATGTCCCAGACTGTCACATACCTTATTTTTTTAACCCATAAAAATCCAAGAGAATCAGTTTAAAAAAAAAAAACTAATAGAATCAGAAAGAGAAGTAAGTTACAGTGGATTAAAATGAATATACAAAAATAAATTTTAAAATTATGCAATATTCTATTTTTTAAAACATCCAATTCAAAAAATACCTTCAAAGTGCAAGATACCTAGAAATAAACAAGACATATTCAGGACCTACCTAAAGAAAATTGTAAAATTATACTGGGGTACAAAATAAAGACATAAATTAAGAGGTACATCATAGACGCCCTTGGATAGGAAGACATAATATTATATCAATTTTCTTGAAAATTAGCCTGTGAAATAAATACCATCTCATTACTTTAGGACTTGATAAAATTGTTCTAAAATTAGTTTGAAGAATAATCAGTGAAAATTGCAAGGAAAATATTTTTTAAAAGTAGAAGTAATGCTCTAGCAGAGATTTCTCAAACTCCTGGATATTAAAATGCATCATAAAGCCTTGGGGATGAAAACAATATGACATTTACTTAAGTACAGGGATATTGCACCAAAATGTTTGCTGGAGCACTATTGGTATAATAAAAGAATAGGAGCAATCTTAATGCCTATTGATATGAACCCATTTAATAAATTATATAACAGTAGACATTGAAATATTATTTCAGTATTATATCAATAAATACAAAACATGAAAAACCTAAATAAAAGTTAATCCATATCAAGATACTTCACATTAAATCTATAGGATACCAAAACAACAAGTTTCTACTGTACAGCACAGGGAACTATAGGCAATATCTTGTTGTAACCTATAATGAAAAAGAATATGAAAAGGGATATATGCATGTATATATATGACTGAAACATTATGCTGTACATCAGAAATTGACACAGTGTTGTAAACTGACTATACTTCAATTAAAAAAAAAATTCATAGGACACCAAAAGCAATGAGCAAAAATCTTAGAAGCGAGTAGAGAGGAGACTATATTATGAACCAAAAGATGGCACTTTGAAGGGCAGGAAACTTCTCAAAAACAACAGTATAGGTCAGAAGAAACTTGAATAATATACCAAAAATAGGAAGAATAAATAGTAAGCCTAGAATTTTCCCCCTCAGCTAAATTACCATTCCAGAATGACAGCATAGGGTAAAATATAGTTTCACACAAAGTCTGCAAGAATTTACCACTTGAAGGTCCTTCTGAAAGAACCATCAAAGAATGGATCACAGAGAGAAGAATCTGAACCCCTCTGGGAGGAGGGAAGAAGAGAGAAGCAATGTGAACAAATTGGGAAAGTCTAAAGCAAGAACTGGATGTATAAATAATAATTACTAATTTTGCAGAGTGAGACAAAAACATGAGATTACAATAATGTATCATTAAAGAGGGGGTAATGAGAGGCAAAACATTGCATATACTATGATTTTAAGTTAAGCAACCATGTTAAGAATACCGTGTTGACTCTGAAAAATACATCTAAAAGAAATACATAATGTGCAGACCAGTGAAGGAATCAAAGAAGAATTGTAACGAAAAGAAATCAAGCAAATCAACAAAGGAAGGAAAGGAGGGGGGAAAAGTCATAAGAAATAAGCAAGGTAAAGAAAATACCCAAACATAGATAAGTTTTACTCCTTAGGATGTAGGAGGGTATATGATGGACCGTTTCTCTTGTGTTAACAAGACACCAGATAAAAAATCATCAGGAGCTAGTAAAGAGCATTTAGAGCCTTGAATAACCGAATTACAGAGAAACGAGACCATTTATTGTAAAGTGAGTAGTATTTATTACCGCTGACTCTCATTACCTTTCCGTGCAGAGCACCGTATAAACAACAAGTTTATACTGTATAGCACAGGGAACTATATTCAATATCTTGTAGTAACTTATGGTGAAAAAGAATATGAAAACGAATGTATGTATGTTCATAATATGACTGAAGTATTGTGCTGTGTGTGCAACAGAAATTGACACAACATTGTAAACTGACTATACTTCAGTAAAAATATAAAAAAACAAAAATTTTAAAAAAAGTGAAGTGAGTAGAACCTCAGCTTCAGTCTGGGTGCAGATGGACAGGAGTGGGTTTCAACCATAAACAGAGATCATTTGTGCAGATAAGAAGAAATCAGCCAAACTTCAGATGAAAGTTTGGATGAGCAGGACTAAATCCAAATGCAAAAACAAATGACTCTTCCCAACAACATTCATCCCTCTTCCACACCCTCAAGTTTTGCCAAGAAAGTATCAATACAGGAAGGAAAAAAATAGGGTTCAAGGGTCCTACTGGAGGTAGAAATCAAAGATAAAACAAAAATATTTG